CAGGTGTATATCTTCTTTGGAAATGTATTTTTGTGCTTGAGAACAGGAACAATTCAGCAGTGTTGTGATGCCATTGGTCATCTCAGGCACATCATTGAAAAGAAGCACATTTCTTTAAACAAAGCAAAAAAACGACGTTTGCCACGGTAGGTGATATAGCTTCCTTTTCCGCTTTTTTCCTTAAACATAAATCTAACTCTCAGCTAATAGAGGACAATCTGGGATGGATGTTTGGAAGTATAAAGAATTAATTTCCTGAACAAGGAATGTGTGGAAGTGCGAAGAGTCAGTTTTCTCAAGAAGTTAAAAAGCTTATGTTTGAGAATGCTTGGTTTAAGGTATAAGGTATTTAATCTTGGTTGGGGTAGTAGATACAAATTGAGAAATAGTCTTGTAACTGAGACATTTTATATTACTGGCACTAATTTTGAATACAAACTTCACGTGGAATTATTTGACTAGAATATTCATGAACTGTTCTGCCTCATGTGAGGCTGTGCTCTGGCCACTGACAGTGCTGCTGGTGCACGTTCTAGATAGGTGCGGCATTGCTCTGCGTGTTTGCCTGCGTATGTGTGCATGCCATGCTATATTGCAGTCTTAAGTATGGGTTTTGTTTTCGTTTCTTGATGTGCAATGTAAATCATTTATTTAAATTTTGTACTCTGAGGGACGAACTGATATTAAGTCTGTAGTAAAATTATCCTTTTAATTAAAAAATTAGGCCAACAAATTTATAATACCAGGTCATTAATAATAATCAGGTGTATATCTTCTTTGGAAATGTATTTTTGTGCTTGAGAACAGGAACAATTCAGCAGTATTGTGATGCCATTGATCATCTCAGGCACATCATTGAAAAGAAGCACATTTCTTTAAACAAAGCAAAAAAACAACGTTTGCCACGGTAGGTGATATAGCTTCCTTTTCCGCTTTTTTCCTCAAACATAAATCTAACTCTCAGCTAATAGAGGACAATCTGGGATGGATGTTTGGAAGTATAAAGAATTAATTTCCTGAACAAGGAATGTGTGGAAGTGCGAAGAGTCAGTTTTCTCAAGAAGTTAAAAAGCTTATGTTTGAGAATGCTTGGTTTAAGGTATAAGGTGTTTAATCTTGGTTGGGGTAGTAGATACAAATTGAGAAATAGTTTTGTAACTGAGACATTTTATATTACTGGCACTAATTTTGAATACAAACTTCACGTGGAATTATTTGACTAGAATATTCATGAACTGTTCTGCAGTGAATTTTGAAGAATAAGAACTGAATGTTGAAATAGTAGGATTTTGATGGACATGGGTGGAATCGTAGAATTATGGAATGAAACTACTCAAGGCCGAGGCTGGGTGGTGGCCAGCCATGTCCAGTGTTGGCTCTCATTTCCATTCCAGTGAGTCTCATTCTCAGACAGGGTGGGGCATGCGGGTACCACCACTCTGGCAAAGCATGGTCCCATGTAGACTGGATATTAATATTTGCTGTTTTAAAATTGATTCTTCCAGATTCTACTATGAATTTATGACATCTCTTTAGATCATTGGTTCTCAAACTTTAGCGTGCATTAGAATTACCTGGAGGTCTAGTTAAAACACAGATTGCTGAGCCAGCCCCACCTCAGAATTTCTGTCCATAGGTCTGGGGCCAGAGAATTTGTATTTATAACAAGCTCACAACTCCTGCATCTGGTCCACACTTTGAGAAGTGCTACTTTAGATCATAAACTCTCTTTCATTTTAAGGTACATTGAAAAAGAAACATGAATATACTTGGTGCTGTTCTTTTAGGAAATACTTTAAAATTTTTCCCAAGATAAAAAAAAGAAATTGAAAATGAAGGCTAGCAGCGTTTAGAGCCCATCTGTGGTTTTTTCGATTGCATTCTAATGATAATACATTAAAAATAAGTCAAATGCCTCTTACTGAGGTTTTTACATGTATCAGTAAAGTGAAATTGAGTTCAGTAAAGTAAAATTGAGCTTATGATTTCTAGACTCTTGGATAGCTAAACATTTCATGTTGGAGAGAGTATTAATGACAGTGTTTTCTTTGTGTAGAGGATTTCCACCTTCGGCATCGTTGTGTTTATTGGATCTGGTTAAGTGGCTTTTAGCCCATTGTGGGAGGCCCCAGACAGAATGTCGACACAAATCCATAGAGCTCTTTTATAAATTTGTTCCTTTATTGCCAGGTATGGTGATTCTTACATCCAGTAAAATGATGCATTTTGCTTTGGAGGTGTGGACTTATTTAAGATGTGATCTTTTCATTATTTAAACTAATGTTACAAATGATATATGGTTCTAATGAATACAAAAAATAAGTATGTTCAATAATTGTTTCAGATTTGTATGCCAGATGATAAGTTGACTGCATTTCTCATTTATAGAAAGAAAGAAAAAATGCTATTTTGATGTTAGTCAAATGATACAGAAGAAGTAAATTTAGAATTTCCCATTATCTTTTTTATTTCACTACAGGTTTGCTTTTCTATTCCATATAAAAGAAAGAAAGAAGAGTTGGGTGACCATTACAATGAACATGATATTCAATTAAGATTCAAAATATTAACAGTTAATGAAATAATGCAGTTCTGTTTCAACTTGTAATAATAAGAAATTGCCAGAATCCTATCATTGTGACAGTAAAGGAAAGCACTGAACGTGTGCTTTTCAGTAATTATTCACTAACCCATTAAACTTAAATAAGCCATACTCTTGAGCTTAATGTAACTCCTGCATTTTTCAGGAATAAATGTATTATTCTGTTTTCTCCCTTAAATCCAAACCCACGTTTGGTAGCTTTGAAGTGGGGAAGCCATGCTCCAGAACAGAGCTAGGCCCGCTCCTGTGCTCTCTGCACAGTACAGAGCCAAGACGTGCTGTGCACGGCCCATGCCTCTTGTGGGAGAGGCGCAGCACACGGTGCAAAAGGGGTGGGTCTACTGTCTGGGTTTTTTCTTCATGGAATAAGAGGAAAAAATTACTTCAAGTGCTTCTGGGCTTCTAAAACTTAGAAGGATTCTAAATTTTGATATACTATAGGATATATTATAATGTTATATACCATATATTTTGTATATTACATATTATGCAGTATATAAAATATAATTGCACTCATACTATGTTTTATATATGTAATATATATAGTATAGTATATATTTACTATGCTATCATTTTACGTAAATAATGGAAATGTTTTTAATTTAGATAATTGCTTAAAAACCATTATTTGTATTTTAAGTTTGCTTACTGCTTTTAGTTAACAGTTTTTTAATACATTAAGTTATTCTCACAAAAACCTTGTAAAATCAGTCAATGAAGAGCGGCTGGGAGTAGTTGGAGGAGGGGCAGCATATTTTCCTTATTTTTAAAGGAAACTGAGGCCCATATATTATGTGGGTAGAACTACTTATTGGCAGACCCCTCCTTCTCTGACTCTCCTACAGCACACACAGTTTCTAGTGACGCCAGCTTTACTGATCCCAGATATTTCTATGGCTCTTCTCTTCCCTATAATAGGGACTGAACTAAATAAATAGGGCCCTACCTCTCAGAATTGTTGTTGTCAAACAAAGGATGCCAGGTAGTAGGTGAGGCCTGCCCTTCCTTCTTTCAACATATAACTTGTATAAAATTAATGAGCTTTCCTTGACTCACCTCTGTGGCCTCCCAGAGTGCATCTGCCTTTCTCTTTTTCCAGCATCCTTTCCCCCAGTAGATTTTAAGGGACACTGTTAGGCATCTGTAGGTCACTGTGCACTGGGGGTGCTGGTTGTGTGAATGCCCAGGTCAGTAGTATATAAAAATAGGCACAAGCCATCAGAGAGGGGCAGCTCCCCAGCGGCTTCTGAGTGCTGAGGCTCAGGGTGAGATGTACTGCATGGAGGCCAGAGTGGCCCAGGCCCAGGAGCAGATGGCAGCGTGATAGTTGGAAGAGGCTGAGGAGGCTGCAGGGCGGCTGGAGGCTCCAGGCCTGGGTCTTAGGCCGTCACTTCCACTGACCTTCCCGTGTCTGGCTCACTCTTTGTCTGCCTTTCTCTGTCCTTTCTTTCTGTATGTTCTCTTCTGTCACTCTTGCTAGCACTTGATGAAGCATTTAAATATTTTACTGTTTTTCACTCATTATTATAGTTTTTTTTGGTCTCTTCTTAGTCATAAGTAATGGAATGTTTCCTACTCTTAATACATAAACTGTCCCCTTCTTAACACAGGTATTCAGACATACATTACTGTTTTGGATTCTTCTCTAATTTCACTACAGTAAGAATGATTCCACCTTTTTTGAGCCATGGATTTCTGAGCATATAAAGTGCAGTTTTATGTATTTCTTTTCTTGAGTTAGAAAAAATTTAATGTCTCAAAGAAAACATGTTTTAAAAAGCAAATCATTTGACTTTCTTATTTAACAAACACTGGGCTTACTGTGTGGTAGATGCTATTCTAAGCACATGTTCAAATATTAACTACCTTAATTCATTTAGTCTTTATAACTACCCAAAAGGGTAGATATTATTATTGTTCTCATTTATGGATGAGAAAACTGAGACACAGGTCAGGTCCCCACAGCTGGGATGCAGCACAGCCAGTATTGGAACCAAAAGTCACAGTCCCTTAAAAAGAGGAATGATCATTTTTAAGGAAAAAGGCAGGGGAAAGGGTATTAGCTTATAGCTATTCCAAATGGTATCCAACTATTTTTATAATGTTTAAGGAAACTGAAGCAAGTGGCTTTGGTGGAAATACCTTCTTGACAGTAATTATAGTGAAACAAGTTATGAGTACTATAATAAAACAAAAAAGATTATCCCATATCATTTTGAAATTTTAATTAGGCACAAAGATTAAGGAAATTTAATTATATGGGAGTTATTTGTGTGTTTTAATCTTGTTTCTTTTTAAGGCAACAAATCCCCTTCTTTATGGCTGAAAGAGATTATCGAGAAAGAGGATATTTCTTTCCTCATAAACGCGTTTGAGGGTGGTGGTGGCAGTGATCGGCCCTCAGGCATCCTTGCTCAGCCAACCCTTCTCCATCTGCCAGGGCCATTCAGCCTGCGGGCAGCCCTGCAGTGGCTAGACCTGCTCTTGGCTGCCCTGGAGTGCTATAATACATTCATCGCAGAGAAGACTTTGGACATGCTCGAGGTCCTGGGTATGTAAAACTTACTCCTAAGCTAGTATTGCCTGAACTGCATGGAGTTGTTCTGGGTGTTGAAATAACAGCAGCGATGACGCCACACACCATTCATTCGGCACTGTGTGAAGAGCGTTATCTGAACTCTCTAGTCTCACAGTGAGGGGTGTGATACAGGTGGCAAAACTGAGGCTGCACACTCCTGTCCAGAGCCTCTCCTTCCTTTGTGCCCTATTCACAGGCCCTGGCTGACCCTTCTATACAGTAACCTCTGGAGGTTTTCATTTGTGTGTAGCACATTAAAAGAGTTTTTTCTGACAAGAGGTTGTGTGATCTTTTTTTTTTTTTGTCTTTTTCCATGTCTGGCAACGGATCGTAACCCTCAGTGTCGCCCCCGTACCGGACCAGGACTGGCAACGGGATCGCAGCCCTCGGTGTTGCTCCCGTGCCTCGCTCAGCCAGTGAGCGGGAACCGGTCTGTATGTGGGATCCGAACCCTCGGCGGGAGCGCCGCCGCGCTTCCCAAGCGGCGCACTATAGCAGTGTGCCACCGGGCCGGCCCAAGGTTGTGTGATCTTATTCAAGTTTCTGTGTAGAGTGTCTTTATTTTTCTTACATCTTCACATTCCTTTAGATTTTTTATCATAGCATGGTGTTGTTTGCAGAGGACAGAATGAACATAAGGTGGAATGCTTTGTGTACTTCTTGGCCTGTGTTGGGAAGAAGGAGATGACAGCCTATCCTTCTTCTAGCTATAGTTTCTGTTGTGTTGTAAATGTGGATATTTTAAAAGAAAACTGTTAACACTACTTGAAAAAAATGTATAAATGGACCCTAAATACTGTGGCAATTTTGTATCCAATATTGTCACCTTTGAAATATAGTTTTTTAATTGGAAATTTTGCAGCCACTAAATTATATTCCCATTTCATACCCCCACATTATTTTATCCTAAAGTATTAAGTTTTTATGGTTAAGATTTTTCTTATAACCACATCTATGTCTTTGTAACAAAAATGTCTGTATTTAAAGATTCTTTTCTGTGTTGAGTTATTATTACATTTGTTATTGGGGCACATTACATTTATTATGACCACAACATAAATATAATAAAAATTTTAATTATTGCCTATAAATATAAAAAGTAAAATTATACAGTTAGAATTCTATTTTTGTTTGTATAGACTTTAGTTCTAAAAAAACTTAACATAAATCAGTGTCATATTTGATTAATTCTAAAATTTACATTTTTTAACATAGCTGATAGCTATGGCTGGAATGTGTCTTATGGTCTGGTCTGTTGGATTCAAGGGTATTTAGTGTTTGGGAGTGTAATTCTTAATATATGGTCTCTCAGTTCTTTGAATACATAGTAATCTGTCATCAGAATTATTTCTAGTGATCTGTCAGTTGATGATTTGATTAACTCTCCTTAAGTTTTGTTGAAAACAAAGAATTGGAAACCCTCAGATTTCTAAAAGGATTTCTTACTCAGTCATTACCTTTTTTCACTCTTTCAACATGTATACCAATATTTTAAATTGTCCCTTTTGTCTGGGACTCTGAAGGTCTTTACACACTGGGGTAATAAACTACAGAAAGATTGGGGAGAGATGAACGTGTGTCTGTCTGTCTTTTGTGAAGTGGAAGAAGGGCCATGGAGCATGGGCAGAGAAGGGAAAGGAGAACCAGCCCACCTGAGTTTTCACACAGATGGGATTTATGAGAAAGTCCATTTGGGAGTGGATATGAAAATTGATCCCATGAAATGGCAGGCCATCCATGCTTGCTGGAACACACCACGATTTGCCTCTGTATTACCCCTTTGAATGACATTTAGGTGGTTTCAATGTTTTCATTCTTACATTCTTACAAATGTATCTTTGCAATCCTGCCATTATTTCATTAGGTTAAATTTTCAGTGCTGGATCAAAGCATATTGAGTTTTTTCACATTTGAGAGAAATTGGAATGCATATTTTTTAAAGCTTTTGGTATGGAAGAGAGCATGCCCTGGGTCCTAGGCAGGAACTGAGGGCATCCCTCTCTGCCTATAAGCAGGCAAGAAAGCGTGCCAGGGGTCCTAGGCAGGAGCTGAGGGCAGCCCCCTCCTCCCGGAAGCAGGCAAGAACAGAGCATGCCTGGGGTCCTAGGCAGGAACCGAGGGTAGCATCACCCACCCAGAAACAGGCAAGGACCATGCACTTCTGTGCAAGTGGCCCATCACAGCCACTGCCACAGCCATGGCTGCTGCAAAAGTGGCTCAATGCCACAGCAGTAGCCACAGTCACCATGCAGGTGTCCCATCAGACACTTGACTATGTTGACACAAGAAGAGTCCCTAGCAGAGACCGGAAAAAGAAGAGGATATCTCTCTTCTCGAAGCCCATTCCAGAGTAATAGAAGAAGCAACTGCTCTACCAGATGACCAGACATCACCATAGACATACTAGAAATACGAAAACCTTCAAAAATATGACACCACCAAAAGACTACAGTAATTTTCAAATACCAGATCCTATAGAGCAGGAAACCCTTGGAATGCCTGGAAAGGATTTCCAAGCAACAATTTTCAGGAAAATCACTGAGATATGAGAAGACTCAGTTATCAGCACTGCACTCTCCCGAGTGAGCCACAGGCCGGCCGAGAAGACTCAGTTAAACAACATAATAAAACAAGAAAAAAAAATCCAGGATACATGGGAGGAAATTTGCAAAGAGATTAATAGCTTCAAAAAGAATGTAGCTAAACTCATAGAACTGAAAGTTTCACTCAATGAAATAAACACAACCGATAGCTTAAGCAGCAGACTAGAACAAGCAGATGAAAGAATATCTGATCTTGAACATAGTCTTTCAAACTAACCCAGGTAGAAAAAAATAAGGAAAAAATAGTTTAAATGAATGAAAATCTAAGAGAGCTAGCAGACAACCTTAACGTGCACAAACATTTGAATCATGGGTGTTCCTGAAGGGGAGGAGAAAAGAAAAAGGCATGGAAAACCTATCCAGTGAAATAATAACAGAAAATTTCTCAGGTGTAGGGAGAGACATGGACTTTCAGATCCAGAAGGCTCAAAGATCCCCAAACAGATTCAACCCAAAAAGATCCTCTCCAAGACACATTATAGTCAAACTGGCAAAGCTCAAAGACAAAGAGAGAATCTTAAAAGAAACAAGATAAAAGTGTCAAGTCACCTGTAAGGAAGCCCCCATCACACTAACGACAGACTTCTCAACTGAAACTCTTCAGGCCAGCAGAAAATGGGATGACATATTCAAAATACTAAAAGAAAAAAACTGCCAGCCAGGAATACTATCAGCAAGACTGTCCTTCAGAAATTAGGGAAAAATAATGCATTTCCCAGACAAACAAAAACTGTGGGAATTCACCACCACATGACCAGCCTTACAAGAAATCCTTAAGGGAGTCCTGCATCTGGAATCCACAAAACAGTAACCACTATCATGAATACATAAGAAAGAACAAAACTGCTGGTAGGACAAAAAAGCAAATGAGAAAGAGAAAGAAACTAAATATTACCACTGCAAATGAGAAAGAGAAAGAAACTAAACATTAACACCATTAAACCAGTAATGATGATAATAATGTAATAATTCCACTGCTTTATTTCCGATTTTAGTAATTTTGGTCTTCTTTCTTTTTTTTTAAGTCAGTTTAGATAAGACTTGCAAATTTTGTTTAAAAAAATAAATAAAGCTTTTGGTGTGAATTGCTAAATTGCCCTTTAAATTGTTCATATTAATTTATATTCCCCAAAGTAGTGCTTGAGAATCAAGACTTGACCTTCCATAGATGGTTCTTATTGTATGAGTCTAAAGTTAATTTGGGTTGAATTAATTTTGAAATTTTGAAATGAGAAGAAATAACAGCCAATTTATTCAGCTTTTATCAAACTATTTTTCTTTTGAAAAACTTTGAATTTTGACTAAAAGTGTATTGTACCTCAACTTAAAAAAGGAATTTTTTGTTAATCTTAGTGGAGTTAATAGGAAGCATATATTAATATTTTAATATAATTATTTCCAGGTACTCCAGCACAGTCTTCACTTTTGAAAGCAGTGGCTTTCTTTTTAGAAAGCATTGCTCTGCGTGATATTACAGCAGCCGAAAAGTGCTTTGGCACTGGGGCAGCAAGTAGCAGACCCAGCCCACAAGAGGAAGAAGGGTATAACTACAGCAAATGCACAATCATTGTCAGGATTATGGAATTTAGCACAACTCTGCTCAACACCTCCCCAGAAGGGTGGAAGGTAGGGTCTCTTCTGCTGCTCTGTTAATTTGAGGTCAGTACTTGGTACTGGAAAAATGCTTTAAAAGTTTCTGTTAGAAGTCATTTTGGCTTTTCTAGAACTTTACATTTCCAGAAGAGTTATCTAATTTATTTTAGTTGACAAATAGAAATTGTATATATTTGTGGTGTACAACATTATGTTTTGATTTATGTATACATTGTGGAATGGCTAAATCAAGCTAATTAATGCATCTATTACTTCACATATGTGACTTTTTTTGTGGCAAGAACATTTAAAATCTCTCTTAGCAATTTTAACCATACATTACATTGTTATTAACTAGTCACCATGATGTACAGTTTGTTCTTGAAAATAATAAAATTTTGTATGTCCTTCATTGTGTGAACAAAATACAAAATAGTTTTTCTAAATGTGTTATTGGGTGCGACATTATATACTGTAATCAGAAATATGCCTTAGGAACCACACATTAGCAAATATTTGTAAATGTATCTGTGAGACGTATTATATAAACAAACTCCAGTCAGTCAATCCAGTGAATATACCCTAAATGCGTGCTGTATGCCAGGCTATGTTCCTGGGGATGCAGCTGTGCCCAGTAGCAGGGGCTGGAAGGCTGTGGTCCATGGGCAGAACCCCACCTGCCGCCTGCTCTTGTAAATAAAGCTTTATTGGAACACGGCCATGCTCATCTGTCCACTTGCTGTCCATGGCTGCTTTCACGCTCTTATGGGTTAAGGAGTTGCAGCAGAGGCTGTATAGCCCACAAAGCCTAAAGTGTTTACTGTACAACTCTTTACAGAAAAAGTTTGCCAACCCTTGCCCTAGTCAGGCAAAAATTTCCAACCTCATGGACCTTATACTCTGGTGAAAATATAAATGCATGGGGAGGGGGTAAAAAAAAAAAAAAAAAAAAAAAAAAAAAAAAAAAAGG